TGGAATTCATGCGAAACGTGCAGAGATGCTTGATTTGGATCATGTTTTGGACCGTTTCAAGGAAATTTACCCTAACAGCAGAATCATGCTGTCATAAGTAAAGTCTTTGATGAATTTTCTTCTTACGGGATTCTCTTTTCATTTTAAGACATTATTATTGCCAATGAAAACATTTCGATCATGAGCACATTTTGCGTAATAAATTTTTTAAAAAGCACTTCTTGTCCTTTTTCATCAACTATTTTTCAATAGCTTTGTTCACCGCATAGCTTGCGACAAACAAATGGTTTAGAGAGAACCATCGATTAACTAACTATTCACATTAAACTTTCTAAAGTTTATGTTTTTTTTCTATGTGAATTAGATAGAAATATTCAACAATAGGCAATAATCGCTCATTAAGTTTCTTACAAGGCACAAATTGCCGAGAAAATCTTGCTATACATGGACTCCGACACAGGTTGGAAAGTGGGGGGGAGGGGGCAAGGGAAAATTTTGCACCCACAACAAAAGATTTTGGAAAATGGCTCTATTGCTTTGTAAAAAAGTGGGGGCCATGACCCATTGGGTAAAAAAGTGGGGGCCTGCTTTATGGGGCACATCGCTCAAAGATGTTCTATCCCCTTTTTCTCTGTCGGCAATTTGATACATCCAGCGTCGGCAGTTACGGAGAACATAAACTTCGGCACCTTGAAGGTTTGTCTCTAGCGCCACCCCTGTCCAGACATTAAATTATGCAACTGCATTTAAAGTCCTTTCTTGGCACACATAACAAAATTTCAATCGAGGGAGGAATGTATTTTTTATCATCCGGGCATTAGAATGTATTTTGCGCATTTTCACTTTTACAATATTACTAGTTTCAAGTTTGTCAGTGTAAGGCTAATTATGATATCATTTGCTGCATCTACGTTAGCGAATTCTTCGGAATTGACAATTAGACAAACCATACGACGACTCTAAATTCTATCAATCGGATCTATTTGCTTTCTGTATTCAATTTGTTGGTAAGATTCAAGAAAAAAAATGGCAAATGAAACTCTCATTGTCAGTTGAACCTGCTTAGCTCGACCATTCAACCGCTTTTAAAATCAATTGGACTGTATCTTAAACCGTAAAGAAGCCGTAAAATCCTCTTAAACCAAAAACACGAAGAAAGGCCTCATGTGTACACAGAAAAAGATGTTATGTATAAACACAGAGTGACATAACGTGTTTCTAAGCCAAAGCCCCAATCTTCTGCGGTAACTGGGCACTTCGAGATGGAGCCCATTGAAAATAAAGATATTCTACTGTCGGGGGTAAAGTTTAAGCCGTGTAACGTAAAAAGACAACAACAACAATAATAGCAATACATGAAGTAGTAGAAAAACATGCCTGTTGACGTTGATGAGATTATTTTCGATTTTGTTGGTGAAATTTATATATTGGCATAAGAAACATATTCTTATTTTAATCATAGTCAATATGGTTTAACTGTGCGTGTTTCTCATTACGAACCGCCCAAGGGAAGGTGTACAAGACTCAGAAACTTAAATGATTTTGCTTTATGATACCCAAACATCTGCTATTTGGTTCAAATTCATCATATTTCAGTTCTTGATATGAAGTGGTTAGAAAACGCACGCAAAATATCACGAGACACAATTACATACATTTAATACCAATTTGATTAAACCAAGGACGCAAGTTTTCATAATTCAATGTCATTTTGCTATGCACTATAAATCAAATTGTCAATGCAAATTAACCATAAAATTCATCCAATTTAAACTCAACTGAAACGTTTGCCAGTGTGTACGACCTCAACCACTGGCTCTCTTTCTCTGAAGGCACCCTCGTGATCTTGGAAACAAGCTCAAGCATGAGTTTTAGCGGAGTCATTATTAAAAAGTTTTGATAGAAAAAGCCTTAGAGGTTTTTCGATCTTTAGAATATGCATTCGTCTTAAAAAACAAAATTAAGAAAGCAAGAAAATCAATTTTTCGTATATTCCAGCTGAGTTACCCTCAGAATATTCTGAAAATTTCGGGAATTCTGCTTATTTCTGAAATTAGTAGGAAAATGCTATCTTTAGTCCCCCCCCCCCCCCCTTCCAAATTCAATACCCATCGCGCCCTTTGAAAAGGCAAGTTGCAAAGCGACCAATCAGTTTGCAACATACTGTCAAAACATGCCACCAGCCTTCAGAAAATGGGCGTATCCTGTTTATGGTACAATTGCTGTTCATGTTTTCAGAAGGAAAAACTGTTCCTATCAAAGATGAAATGGAAACGATTGTGCTAGACAATTAGGTATCTATCGACCTAAACCAACTAAATCAACTGACGTAAATAACAGAACAAAAATCTTTGTTGACTATTTTGGTACCAATATTTCATGATATCTTAATTTAGATTTGGTATTTCTTAATGCAGCTCTTCTGCATTTTTCCTTTAAAAAACTTTTTAGAAACTTTTAGCAATGATATTAACAAGAAAATTAGGAGACCAGGGTACCAACCTCAAACTTATTTCTTATCAAAAATACATCTTGTCAATTCAAGTAAAACAGACAGAGAAAAGGTATACCATTTTCAATGCAATGTAATGGCAAATTCTTTGGTGTCCCCCATTTTAAAGAACTTTCATTAAAGACCAGTGGATTCAAAAACGTTTATTATATGTGGCTATCTATAAACTTGCTTAAACTCGTTGAATACAATTATGTAAAAGATACTTAGTGCCTTGTAAGAATAACCCAAGCATAGGAAGTTTGCATTTATAATACTCAGGAGACATGAGTCGCCCATTCAATGTGCTGTCGTATACATTAATTTTCACAAGAAACTCGCTATAAGAAACAAGTATTGGACAATCAGAGAAAAGAAAGATAAGGTACTTCAGTAATCGAAGAAAAAAATTAAGTAACAATTGGATATTCAAAAATTCCCAGAACTTCAAAACTTCGTGTAAATCTGTCTTTATAATTGGTAGGCTTGCACATAAATTTTAAACGCAGAAAATGAAATTATACTTCTTTTATTCAAACACCACAATAAATCAGCAAATATCTTGACAAAAATGTAAGGAACACTTACAAACGTCAGATAAATTTACGAGTTTTGCGCTTTCCAACTACACAAACCCTCCAAAACAGGTTTCTGTTGAAGAATTTTCTAGCATATAAAAAATTAGTTACGGTACCCCGAATGTTAAAATTGATGATATCATAGCTAAGAAACTCTTAAGAAACCAGGAGTTTTGAAACTTTAGTCTGTCTTAGGAAGTCTCAAGAATTTGAAGTACTGGACCTTTGCTTCTTATAAAGAAGTGAGTGCATGACAAATTGCTAGACATGTATCGATAGAAGCGCTCATTTAGGTATAAGATATAACATACTGAGTGAAAATCAGGTGACTACATTTCTTCAACTGTATCAAAAGGAATTCTAGAAAAATAAGATCTATTGCGAAAAATTCATCAGTTTTCTTTCGTTTATATGCATTATGCATTGGGACATCGATAATTTATTGAAAAAATCGTAAATATACAATCTATGAAGCAGATTGTTTTCGAGACGATTGTGAAGTCTGGAGGCGAAAGATTTAGAATTTTCTCCGCAATAAAAGACTTCAGACGTAGGTAAATGATTCATAGTCAAATCAAAAGAAGCTGAAAAAACAAAAGAAATTGTTGCGTTGGTTGACTGGGGTACAAAGTTGCTTTGGATCAAAGTATGTATGTGTAGCAATGTGAAAAACAGATGGTTCAGGCCTTTTCAAATCGCTCTTGGCTTTCGACCAAGACTTTTCGATAAAAGGCTTCCTAAAGATAAGCATGTTTGTATCTTGCAGTATTTTGCTACGGATAAAAAAATAGCGAAAGCTGCTGTTTCGAACTGACAACTTGTAAGCAGCAATAGCAACTTTGCTGATTTTTGAGGAAGCGAAAACTCCTTAAAGGACATCTGCTGTAATTATATGTCCACGAAACACTTACAAGACTGTAAATGAAGAAAAGCTGGGAGATGTCCGTTGCCTGGTGAAAGTGTATGTTATTGGGAAGTGTCCGGTATCACTCTAGTACGAAAGCTTGTTATTTCTGGCCTGCGTACTGTGTCAGTAAAGTCATTGAAGCAAAACGTTTAAAACAGTGTGGGTTCACTAGAAGGGGCTGCAAGTAGGGTATTTATTTTGTAATATCCTCGTCAATATGGTTTCGGATATCAATACAAAGTTTTATTTTTAGGGTTGAAAATGTTTAAGAGCAATAAAAACAAAGTTTCAGAGTTGATATGAGCTGATAGAGTTGATATTAGTATTTTTACCTTCAATTTCATGATATACTTTCTTAGGGGCAAACGTAAAAAAATATTTTTTTTTCTTTAATTTCCTTGTCAGTACTTTGGCAATTAGAGATTTCGTACCATTGGAATGAGAATGAGATACCATTGGAATGAGAATTAAATGTCGTTTTTGTAACATTTGATTGTTCTGGTATAAATACAGCAGTAATTGGCTTGAAAAATACCTCTCGATCAGTGTTATGGGTCTGTCATCACAATGATGTCGATCAAATAAGGTTGAAGTTACTAATTCAATCCAATCTTGTGCTTCGACAAAACCCAATGGCTTTGTTCACCGAAATCCGATGACTTTGATTCAGCAGTTTTTCGAGACGACATCAATGCGTCACTATGTTCACAGTCTTATTCAACTTCTCGTAAGAAGCAACGTTTAGAAAGTATTGAAGAGCGCTGGCGGACATCAAAGCAAGCACTTTCACAAGGCGAAACAGCCTAATTTGAGTCGTTACCCAAAAATCTTCATTAAAATTTCTGTTCGCGATAAAATGTTAGTACGAAATTGCAAACGATTGGATGCTAGAAATGAATTGAGGCAAAAAATAATCAGATATTTGGTTACGTTTTGCGTTAAGCTTTAACACACGAAAAGAATACGTGGCAAGTTGCCGAAGCAAAAGTTGCAAATACTAGATTTAAATTTGTCGTCTAAATACCTCTAAGTGGCTCTTTTCCTTTTATCTTCAGCAAAATAAAACGAGCTCTCTCCCCAGCAAACTATTCTCTGATAATACGCAATACTTTCCAAGACCAGGAAATAACAGCAACTGATACTGCGATAGCAATGTTTTGAATTCGTCGAGTAAAATCGCCTCTGTACAAATGTTTACAATTCCTTGATGTGTTTTTCATCCGATAGAGTTGTGCGTGTGCATAATCAGGCAAAGCACGGTTGGAAAATGATTTTAATTAATAAAATGTGCCGTTACATCTGTACACAAATCTTAGCTTTATCCATAATCAAATTCAGGGGGAGATTATTCTCGATAAGATCGCTCGAAGCTTCAGCGAGGAGGTCGATGAATCGTGAATAATGCAGCCTTCTGAATTATTCAGCTGAGCAAACTTCTGCTATGTTGAATGAACACAAATCAGCAATTTTGGGGGAAGATTGTGACAGCCCTCAAAAGGCGGAAATGAATGAAAATTAAGTAGAAGTGCAACTTGCTATTGAGCTTTTGTTATTTTTCTCAATTTTTTAGGGGGGGGATTGGTAGAGGTGGTGGAGCTGAGATGTTTGTCAATGATTTGTCTAATGCCCCCATGAACCCCTCCAATGTCTGTAACCACTGCTATTTTGGGGGCTATGCCCCACTAAAATTATAAATCAACCTTTTCTTCAAATGAAACAATGTCTTTTTTTATATTGTTCTTCAACAATGGTGTCCCCTTCCTACCTCATCACCAAGCCAAGGCTCATCCTGAAGAAGCTGATTTGACAGAAAATCAGGTCTTAATGAAACTCTTTCATTTTCACAAATGCTTCTCCCGAATAAGAACTTTGGATTGGAGAGCGATAATAAAGAAGACAAAACTGCGACGATTTTATAATTCTAAGACAGAAAAATCGCAGGTTTATCCTACACCTTGCAACTCACGTGCTGCTCATTGCAGATATACGTACTCTGAGAACCAATCAATCAATGTAGTCGGATAAAGCTCTGGTATAAAAACATTGCCCGAATTGCTCAAAAGTAGAATAAAAGGATCATGCATTAGACTGAAGTAAACTTTACATTGTATACCTAGCATCGAAAGAAACCTCCTGCTCACGTTTTCAGGAATACCCTAGGAATCACCTAGAGAATCTTTGACTACTCTTTGCGCATGGCACTTGACATAACATCTTCAGTCAAAGTTCTATATGTAGTCCAAATGGATTTGAAATTCACAAGTTCCAATTTTTCATGTCGTAGAGAAAGGAGACATTTTTGCAAACAAGTACCTTCGAAGGACTACAAAGTTTTAGTATATTCCGCTGTAGCGCTTCCCAAAGGCTATTTTTTGCTAAATCCGTAAGGCATTCGTACTACTGTGGAGGTCTCCTCCGCAGTTTAGATATGTCCTCACGAAGTAGGAATTCCTTACGGAGTTAACAAAAATTAGACTTTGGGAAGTCTAATTCCGCTGATTCTAGTAGCAAATGCGTTGAGCAGTTGTGAATAAAAAGGATACATGGAGGGGAGAGGGGGTGATGCCGGAATGGGATCAAAGTTGGGAGAGAATGGACAGACTTTTCCGGATAAATGCTAGCATGGACAGAATTTTCTGCCATCAGGAGTAAAGACGGATACCTCTCCATTACCCTGGGTGACAGACTCACTATATATGAAATAGTGAGTCTGGTACCCAGGGTACTTCTCCATAAACATTTCATTTTAGCCTGACTGCTTATTCTTTTTGGGGGCTAGACAAAACTTTTATCTTCTATAGGTTGCGCGCCTGTTATTCGATACGTATGGAAGAGCCTACACAACATTTAGATATTATTTTAATCTTAAAATAGGTGCTGAAATTTCAGTTACATTGGGGATACAATCTTAACAAATAGAGACAACAATTGAAGTTTGGTACCCAATTTTCTTCCAGGGCAAATTATTTTTTTATTTGTATAAACTAACTTGTGCTCACAAAAGGCCTTGATTTTTACATGACCATGTTTCCATAGTGGCTATGCATTTTGCAATAAAAGTAGGTAATTTCGGGGGAAAACAATAAGCAATATTTGACATAAATAGAGTAAAGAGAGTAAAAGATCATATTTCTAAGAAAGAAAAAAATTTATGACAGCGAACTCAGTAATAAGTGTAGAAGACAGAAACATTATTTGCAACTTGTTTTTGTTTGTATACCTGAAACAAAACTAAAAAAACAAAATTGAAAGTCTAGCAGAAATTACTGATATTTGACTTTTTTAAAACGAAAAGCACATTTAAACCCGCAAATCTTTATGTTTTTATGTTATGAAAAGCCAAGTACCCAATATTTATGACCGATCTGTTGAAGCAAACATTGATAATGAAGACAATAGCAATCATTTTCTGCTTTCTTCCAATTCATTCATTTCTGTTTGCATTTGTGCAAGTAGCTTATCACACACAGTCAATGCTGCACTCAGTTATACGCAAAACTCAAATTACGTGTAGATTTAACAATGCAGGTGAAATATAATCTATATAATTTATACAACATAATGATACGATTGAACATCTATTAATCTAACCTCCAACAGCTTATTTTCTGTTTGTTTTTTAAAAGAACTGGTATTGAAAACCACAGAAAGCGTACGCAGTTATAAAATACCCAGATGACACACAAATACACGGATTAGGCCAAAACTGAAGCCAGTATTGGAAAAATATTGCTGACAACGTAAGTGACTCGGAAAACTCGTTTATAATTTCAGCCATTTTTTAATATGTTGTGAGCCCATTTGGTTTTTACCCAACTGCCTATTTTCTTTATTCAAGTCCTACTGAAATTAGACAATTAGAGAGAAAAAAACTACCCTCTCGCAAAAGCTAATTCCTTGTTAAAAAGTTGCATGTTTGCGCTGCAAAAAATTTGCGACAAAAATCTCTGGTACAAATTCAGGGCGCCGGTCAAAATAAAATCACTTTAAATTGTGTTAAATTATTCTTTGTTGTTTGCGAAAATACTTTGGTGTATTGTTAAGTGTCATTTGCAGCAAGGATCAGATCAAGCTGTGTTTTTTCCTGCTTTGAATGGCACAGTATAATATAAATTTTTGTGCTTTTTTAAATTGTTAAAATGATGATATAGAAATTATCATCACATCCAAGTCGTTATTCACATCGCTGAAAATGTTTAAAAACACTAAAAAAAATTGTTTTTGCTATAGCATTAATGCCCTTTGCAAAATGCTTAATGAAAATTTATGGATCTTCAAGAAAGGATAAAAATAAAATTATCGACCCGTGTCTCTACTAGCAATTATTAGTATTTCCTACAAAGACAAACTACATGTAAATGAAACAATTTGATAAAAGGAAAATTGGATAGAGTGTGAAAAGCTAAGAGGTAAGAGAAAGTGAACGATTGGGATACCACAGAAAGAGGAGTGAGCAGAACTAATATGCAATAAATGATCAAAAGGCAATCTAAACTGTCAAATGGAGTTTCCCAGGAATCTATTCAAGAGCCTATTCTTTTGTTCTAGTCCTTTTAACAGTTGAAAAATTTTGAGATGGAGAATGAAAGTTTTTAACTGTAGATTAATCAGTATCAGAACCTACGTTAATACGAGCCCACGTGGGCTTCAAAGTTGTATTTTTGGTCAAAAGAGGCACATTGTTTACCCAAATCTGCAGAAAGTTTCTTATAAAAATGATTAGAAAAATATTCAAGTATTATTGTCCTGTGTAAATATAAGTAGTGCAACAAAATCAACGCAAAATCAGTTAAATGAAAGAAACAAGGGTTGAAGATCTGAAATGATGACATTCCAAACAACTTCTAAGAGCAGAGGCAAATGTCCAATTTTGCAAGAACCTTAACCCTGTTTTCCGTAAGATACTTGTTGGATAGAAAACCAATCAGACTAAAGAAAAATAACGCAGGTTCTTGTTTGCTGGTTTCTTGTAGAGGATTTCATAAAAACCTTGGACAAATACACAAAAAGTCGTCGACAGCAAATCAATGATAATGGAGTATGTATGCATTTTGCGGATACGCATCACACGCCCGGTGTCACACGAGGTCAATGACAAACAGAATGGTCAATTCTACTCGAAGATCAATTTTCAAAAACTCTAAAGGCGTGGACAAGCATCTTATCTTGCAAGTACACATATCAGACAAAATACCGTCTGTAAGCACAACTGAAGATAGGTCAAACTGCTTACATCACGCTTAATGCCACGCCTAGAATATCCACCATTTATCATAGCCATTGAGGACATAATCGACGGGCAGCACGTACAGGTAGATTCATGAATTTTATAATCTGTGCACAAAGAATGCCAACTTATAGCTTCCATAGCTCAACATGAAAGTTTTTCTATACTTTCACTAGCCAAATATGCATATTTAGGTTTCCTACTGTAACTTTAAGGTTTCTTATGTTGTATTTTTCATTGTAATTTAAGCAGTTCATATTGCGTGTAACCAAGATATATTGCTGGAAAATGCCTTGACTTTTAATTTAGAATATAACTAGTTCCAAGCCAGCAGTGGTAGAAACGCAAATTTTGCAGCAAACATACATTTTAAACGTTTTCACTTTTCTTCCAAATTTTCAGCAATACCCTTGCTTCCCCACAAAACAATATTGTTTGATAGAATTTTCAGCGTTGCCCAATAGAAAAAGTTGGATCTTAATGATAGTAGTATGCTTGTTACCCAGAAATGTAAACTCTCCACCCTTCGATGTTTAAAAGGAATAGCCTCCTTTATAATGATTAAACCATTAAGTATGCTTAGTGGAAACCTCTCGCAGGTAGGTTGGGGGAGAGGGTAGTTAGCATCCATAGTGGAAACCTCTCACAGGTGGGGAGAGAGGGGGTACATGCTAGAACATGCATGCATGCCGACCAACATGTAGTTGGCGATTAGAGGTTATATAGAGGCGTAACCAAGACGGCAGGGACTCTGTTTTGAGAGAATAGCTGAAATAATCATAATTATAGTTTCTTTTGAAAGGCCAAGCTAGAATCAGGAAAGTGACCAAAGGTCGCAACATTAATACTTGAAGTGACGCCGGAAAAACCAAGGCGCTGGCTTCAGTCGAAAGGTATTTGAAAAAAATTCTAGCACCTTCTGATCCTTTTGCAACTTTTTTTGATGATCTGAAGATATCTTGTAAATGGGCTAACTGCTGTCTTGAGAAACTATTTTACAAGTTTTCGAAAAGCATTACAGTCAGGACTTCATATGAATCTCTTCAAGGATTACAAAGAGCCGATGTCGAGGGAACTTTTGAGAAAAGGGCACTTTGGCCCCCTTGCTCTTCATATCAAAGGGCAAGAGAGAAAGTTGCCACCCCGCCACCCCCGCCCACACTCTTCAAGCCAATCCCAATTCATATGATGAGTTTGTTATACACGAAATTTTGCTACACAAGGGCCGGGAATTTATTTTGAAAGTAAAAAAACAAAAATTTTCTAAAATATTATTTTATTCTCATTTGTTATATCCGAAATTTAGTTTCTTTATGAAACAATAAGTACGTTCACTGCCTTTGAAAATAAGGTTACAAGAACTGTCAGTTTCTTGTCATGCATATTTCAACTAAGAAGAAATAGGATGCCTCCACGATGCAATTATTTCCTCATCACAGCTTATACTGTGAGAGCTTTAAATTCAAACTTGGTATTTCATTTAAATGGCCTTACCATCTCGTAAAACAACCAGCGGTAGATTGAATATATTTGCTAAGAAGCAAACACATATCAGGGCAGATATTAACAATTTTGATTTTCATGACTCTCTACGAACTGAAATTTCCCGAGTTTGCCTTTATCTATCCGCACGCCTTTACATTGTCACTGTAAATATCCACATACTTAAGATTAAGAATTGAGCATCTATTTGGTATATAAAAGGTCGTATTATCCGTATGTATAATACTGAGAAAATTGCTCGAATGCAATCACATTTGTATCATTTTTAACAAAAATTTCAATGGAAAGGCTCATTCTAGCTAAAAGGACTCGGGTTACATTTCTATTACCAGACGAAACGAGGATTCTATAATGAACAACGCATGTTGCTGATGACAGTGTTTTGGTACATAAGGTTACGAAAAAACCAGCATGCGTGCACTTTATAATATGTCCCAACAATGTATCAGAATGAGCAATCTAAAAACTGAGCCATAGCCCTATATGCTGAAATAGCTTTCAACTATTTACATCAAGTAGTCCACACAATTAGCCCACCATTACTACAGAGCTAATGCTTGAGACAATGTACAATTATATAAGGTATAACCTGTTTTTTTGTAAGCGATGACAGTATAAATAATAATGTTCATATATTTCAACGTAAAACACCAAAATGATTGATAGGATGTGGAAAAAAACACTTAAACAAGAAAATTTTGTGTAAAGTTTAATTAAGGTAATCTTACAGTGGGCGTGACATCGGTTTTCGAAAGTGCTATGTGAAGGGGCTTTAAATAAGTGTAACACGGCAATGCTGCGATTAATATAAAATATAACACACAAAAATATGAATAAAAGCATGCTCACTCACTTGTTGATGCGCCTCTATTAGGAAATTACGCCCAGTTTGAAATTTGCTTTTCACTCCATAGCAGGTGATGATGATTGACTTTACTGTACACCTGCCAATTGCGATAAAAACCTTAGTAGGTCTTTATTATAACCCCACGTTGCGAGCTCATTATACTGATAAACAGCAAATACAAAGCGTAGCAATCAAGCTATAACTGTATTTTTTTTTGTATTCTTATTTCTTATCTTATCTATTTCTTTTGTTACTTTCCTATTGAATTTTTTGTTCCTTTCTGTTTGCCGCGGTTGATATTACATTTCTAAAGCATCCTGCAAGTCTTTTCTCTATGCTGTTAGTTGTTGCTACTTTAATCACTTCTATACGTTAGTATTAACGTTAGTAGTATAACGCTTGTGCCAAGTGGCTTCTGAGCAACTCAAGCTTATGTTCGTAAGGTTCAGAGTTAATCTCATATACACTTCCTTCATAGATTTTTTGAAAAAATTTCTTTTGTAAACCAACTTGGCAACTCACTACATCAATAAAAAATTATTTAGGCCAATATGGTTTCAAGATACCTTACTACAAGCAAAACTAGTATTGCGCTTAGTCGAAATCAATTGATTTTAACACGGGGCAAAATCTTAGGGAGAATGGTTTATATAAAGCATTAAGATATTAATTATTATACTATAGAGATCTCTCCACACCCCATTGCAAGCAAAGCCATGCACGCCGTAGCTGGGGGCAGGAGCTGAGGTTTTGGAGGCCCCCCCTTACATTTTGCTGAAGTACAATATCAAGGTGCACCCAGTATATGCAACCACCCCCCCAAACTACCACGGGAGTTTGCCAACCTGTATATAGCCCCTTCCCCCAAATACTCAAATATGTGCTCTGGCATCCCTGAAAGTTGCAATTCAGAGTCGGATTTTCATTGAGAGCATCTTGAGTAAAAATAAAGCTACAAAACTAAAGATGCTTAGCTAACTAGCATTGTGGTATAACATAGCAATTTTAGCTTAAATCGCCCTTTCGCACAACAAAATTGCAAGAACAATATGCATCATATTGATAACCGAAATAGATTTACTTGAAAAATTTCAGAGAAAAAGACGTTGGACAATAACCAGGTTTACGGTGCGGCGTTTCTATATACAATGTGTTGCTGAAGCTGATCACGGTAATTTCATTGTAAAATAATATCCGAACGAGTGTAGAAGACGGCCTCGTTGTTAATCACAGATATACGAAAATCTCAGTTTGTAATCCGAGAAAATAGAGTGTTGCTTTGGTAGATAACACGATACAGCGTCTTACCTGTCAAGTATGGTTGTCGTTGCTAGGAAGGGTTTGAACGAATTGGCCTGTCACTGTTCCAACGCGCTAAGGCTGAATACAGTTGCCAAATGTTGCCCAGTAGTTTAAATCTGCACAGCAAGTGCAGAAGAAATGTCACTTAGCCTACACTCTCTAACATAACATGTGCGCTTGTAAAAACTGTTGGCAGATGGTGCATCACACGAATAGACATTGGGCAAATCTTGATATCTAATCTTCATTACTTTCTTCATCGCGCTGTGAAGAGAACACACTGAACAAAAATCGCACCTTTGGTTACTATAAACGACTGCTTGCACAGCCTTCGATAGGGTCATCATCAATCTAGAAAAGCCACGTTCTAGAAATAAATGATCTTCGATTCCCAACAACGCGTTGTAAGACCAAAATACAGTACTATGGGTGTGCGTTCGTAAGCATGAAACTTATCGTAGGAGAAGACTGGACTAGCAGCTATCAAGCTTGAACTCCAAAACTGTTACTCTTTCACGAAAAATGTCAATCAGATTTCCTCTTTATTAGAACAACTAAAATTGAGAGTAGTTTTTCAGATTTTCATGAATGCATGCAGATTTTTACTTGAGCCCTCTTCACAAATATTTTCGGCGCATCATGATCTTCCTCGAAGTCTCATAAGCTACATCAAACATAAGAACTTCAAAATAGGGTAAATTTAAGAATGCCGATGTTGATCGAAGAGAAAGGAGACAGTCACATAAGGTTTAGAGATGATCTATTTTGTTGGAGGCAGATTATGAATTAAATTATCGTTTAAGAAATATGTTGCAAAAGCTAGCTTCGTTGATGAAAAATCATAAGAAAAGCTGTAAAAACTGTAAAAGTATGTAGATATATATTGTTGCAGCTAATATACTTAATAGATCTACTTAATGAATTAACTTTACTTGCATATGTTGTCACCTTTACTTTTATGGAAGGCTTAAATTAGAAGTAAATAAGCTACTTTCTAGCAGCCTACTGTAAATAAATCAATATTAACTGTATAGGTTACGCTGATAGGGTGTGATCGGTAAAACAGAGGCTTGTGATGAGAGAAGAGGGATGTATGAGCCAGAAAGATTCGGCTTAAGCGCAATATTTTTCTCCGCAGTTGAAAATCAAAGCATATACAGAAAGGCTGTTTTCATTTTTTCGATGTGAGGTTATACACATGAGAAGAAGAAACGACACATAATTCCAAACAACGCAGGTTACAACCTTTGTGTAATGAATAAAGCTGCAGGATGTCTTCTTATCAACGGAATGGCCTTGAAAATGATTCCGAATTAAGGAATTGGAAACATTGTTCCTGCTTTGATACCAATCAAATTGTAGCGTTATAGTACAGGCTTTTTCGTTGACAGGTAATCCCAAATCAGAAAAAAAAGTTATGAGTGGATTGGCAAGTGTTAATTTTCCAATTCAGGTTATCAAAAGCTCTCCTCGCTAATTTTCACAGAACAAAATATTTGTGTTTCCAATAACATCAGAATAAACCCTTCCTCGTGTTCTGTGTGAGGATAATTGTAAATTGGCCATGTTTATATAAATGAAATCTACAAAAATAAACGGCAGATTAACAAAACCCGCCCAAATACTCGGCTACTTTTCTTTCTGCAAGAAGCACGTCTGTTTTAACGTATACAGGCGCTGAAGATGTCAAGCGAAAGAAAATATTGTGCTTCTTCCAAATCTCTTTTAATACATGTTTTTGGAAAATAGATAGGTCTTGTACAAAACTTGAAGAAAATCCTAGAAGTTTTTCCATATTCAGTGTAAATAAATTGACTTATGACGTCACTAATAATTTTGTTTGAATTTGAATTTATCAGCACTGCGGATTTTTCACAAGTAAGTGAATGAACTTCGTGATAGGAAAAATTTCACAATAAAAATAACACATTAAAACTTTGATCTTTACGGAAAACACTGTTCTTTTTAATCTGCAGTAGCAAGAGAGGTCAGGCATAGGCTGTCATAGAAAATTGCACTTTTTACCTTTTCTGCAGATTCCCATCACTGTTCTAATATTCTTAAGTACACAATATCCAGTTGCATTTCTGTTTACCATGCCAGTATTGAACTTAAATTGCTACTTTCCAGATTTCCAAACAGTCGAAGCTTTATGTAATTGCACAACATTGCCTAGCCTCTGTTTCAAAACAAATTTTGAGGTTCTGGGAACACCAGCCTCTGTCACGAAATCAAGTTGCATTTCTGTTATCCATAACAGCAATTAAGTTAACTGGCTTCTTTCTAGATTTCCTAGTCTCTGCTTTAAATAATTCTGGGAACACCAGACCTGACCAGGATTGATGATCTACATCCTTTTGTTATCAAAGTTTTCAATATCAAGACTTCTCCCATCTGACAAGTTCTGCAAAGTCCTTTCGTAAGCTTCCTCAGGTGTAAAACCAATCACAACGGATCCAAAAACTTTTATCCTGAACTCATCACATAAACCTTTGATTCTTGTTTCAATTTCATCAAATGAGGCATATTTTGGTCCAGTGTAGGAATCCTGCAAATATTGAATTGAAGGTCAGTTTTCATTAAAAATAGGAGCTACAATCATTGCCAAAAATAGTTGGAGCGCCTTCCCATTGTGGCATACAAATAAACAGAGCAAGTCTAAAACTACCGTACCATGATATCATTGGTGCTTCCAAAATTTCGACCTTCTCCCCCCATACAATGTTGATTTATTTTCTCAATACGTTCATACAGGTTTCAGTGAAAAAGATTTTTACCTCCAGCATCAAAACAGAAAAATTGAACAACATTGTAATGGGGGGTAGGGGAGAATTTTGGAAAAATGCTTTAGCTTTGCGCAAGTGTTTCAACAATTTTGGCAAGGCTTGTAAATAAAAATCTTCTTTACAAAAAATTAAAAAAATCTTGATATGTACTTCATGAGGGGCTAGGCAGATCCTGTTAGTTGATATATATTTAATATTTGACAATGACATTACAAAACATAGCTTTTCTGTTAGGCTAAAACTTTCTGTTATCACTTAAAGCACCTAAATGGAAAAAAAGAATTGTGCAAGAAATATTTGCAAAAGGAAATTCTTCCATTCAGTACCTCAATAAATGTTGAGAATCTAAACCAGGGGTGGGCAACCTATGGCCCGGAAGCCAGAATTCGGCCCGGGAAGAGAATTTCTATGGCCAGGGAGATGATAAAATAATGGAATAAGTTTTTGGTTGGCAAGGGTGATTTTTTTAGGGGTTGCAAATAATGAATGAAAAATATAGATTCAAAAAAAATATCATCTTCGTCAAACCGATCTTTCACTAGCTATTGTCACACATTTATCATGACTTCAGACAGGACAGCAGAATCATTCAGGGGTTTTACGAAAGTTAATGTTAAGAGATGCAGTAGGAACAAATATTGCTGGGGGCACTTAAACCAGTTGAGCACCTATTGTCATGTCTCAGTTGCCAGGGCACATATTGGATAAATTGGTGTTTGCGTATATTAAAGTGAATGGTCCTGAGCTCAAAGGTCATTGTTAACTTTGATTGGTAGATTATGCATTATCTTTCTAGAATGATTTCTCAAAACCCTGAATTACATCCTTTTTAATTTTGATGTTTTTTGTCAGTTTTCACTTTGCACTTGTAAAAGTCTTATCTTTTAAACCCAGACTTGCCAGTTGCAAACTACTTATATGTTAAAGAGAGGTTTATAATTTTAGTGTAACTGATTGAAAATCTTTCATTATTATCATTATAAGTCTATCAAAATAATTTTTCCATTACCGTTGGCCCACTTAAAGTAAAGGTTTGAAGGGTCTGACCCACTGTTTAAAAAAGTTGCCTGTCTATGATCTAAACTTTCCCTTAAAACTTTGCCAATTTATTTTTTAAAGTGATGGCCCTCTTTAAATATTGTGGGTTTAAACTTTTTTATTAAAACATCCTAACATCACTACATTTCCAGAATTTCAATTTTTCACAGACCAGCAAAGAAAAGGCATCAGATATGGCGTTATTGGAAATAATTGCAACGGGGTGGGTTAAAGTCAGGACCGTCGAGAGGGGGGGGTAACCAGGGTAGTTACCAGGGGGCCCGGGGCCTTGAGGGGCCCGTAGAAAATAAGGTATATATTTTTGGCTATGAGCAGCATTGGCAGGGCGGGCCCATGACCCGATTGATATTCGAAATTTAATCTTTCAACATTTGATCAACAAGCTGGTCTATGATGAACGCCTTTTCTTGTTATGGTTTATAATTAAAACATTGACGATACGATCATAATATACTTCTCCAGAAGCCGGAAAATTCGATTGCACTTACATTTATCTACATTTAGGTCAAATGTTTTAGTTATTCCTTGTGTGGACTTCCTATAAACGTAGAACTAAATCTTCCATTCACGGCGTACACCAGAGAAAAAGCACATGCGAAAACCAAGACAAATCTAAACGCTATGAAAGTCTTTATCAAAATCACTGAGCGGGATCACGATCCAACCAACCCCTGCGATGCCATCTTACAGGCACAAGTCTGGTGCTCAGAAAAGGCAGGAAAAAAAGATACGAGAAAAAGAAGCAAAGAAGGCCTCTCGCACATTGTTTGAGGTAGGTGCTTACAAAAGAGACAAGGAAGGTGATTTCAACTTTAAAAAAACCTGGCGAATGCTCTGTTCAAAGCACTGCTGAAGAAGAAGAAGACACAAACGGCTTGGCTCCTTCGGTAGACCATGACACCACAGAAAGTAGAGAAAGCACTACTGATTCGTCATTAAATCAAGATACTGTTCAAAGTGGATCATTTAGTTTTGATGTCGGCACATTGACCGGATTTCCAACGATAAAGGAGTTAGAAAAAGTTGTTAAAACTGGTCATTTGCCTCATCCTCCAGAGTTTCCCAAAGATTGCGACGGCCACAAATTTCCAACAACGGTCCTAGATGTGAAGCAGCAAAATGGGGAGGTAGTAAGAAGCTGGCTTGTTTTCAGTCCTACAAAGGCTGCACTCTATTGTTTGCCATGCAGGTTGTTTGGGCACACTATTTATAATAGTTGATTATATATATACTTATATATATAATATATAATACTTATAAAATCAAAATTGGCTTCTCCTGATGGTTGGGGAGCGAACGACAGCTGGAAAAGATTGTGGGAAAAGATTAAGGATTTCGCCATGAGGATAGCAAGAAAAGCAGTTTTTTAAACATTAAATTAAGTCTTATTTGTTTTAATGATTTGTTTTATATAGTCACTAAATACATGTTCTGTTAAAGACCTTAAAATACAAATTCAAGTGTTTCAGAGGCGTTGATTACAAAATTCATGCCTTTTACAGTCCATCTAACTGCATTGCTAAGGGCGTAACCCAAAAAAGGTTTTTGCAGCCTTCAACGGTGGGGCCCCATGACAGTCCCAGCCCTGGGGCCCGGCCCGTCTCTCGACGGCCCTGGTTAAAGTTTTATGGAAAAATGATGAAAGGGGTCAGATCACAAGATTCTAAGATTAGAAAGAATGGTTCTTAGCAGTGGTGTTCTAAAGGGCTTCTTAGCAAAGAAAAATACCTTGTATGATTAATTCTGATAAAGATTATACATTGAGGTTGGATGAATTATTGTAATGAAATATGGCTAGCCTTTGGTATCATTGAAGTATCATCATTATGCTGCGTACCAAAGATAATCATTTCACAAAAAACCAAACAAGCAAACATTTTGATTCCAAATTTCACAGAAAGATAAAAATCCAACTCCACACCCCCAGAAAACTCCTGGTAGATAACAAACATAAACGTGGGCTAGACAATTCCCTTTAGCACAATAAATACACAAACATTAATGACTGCCTTACCACTTTCTGTAAGTCCAATGAATCAACATTGCAAGCAATCTCAATCTTGCTTTCATGAGAAAATGCCATTGACTGGACACCAAACAAGCCCCCTGGTGATGAGCCCCTGATTGCTTTAGCAATCAAATTTCCAATCTTCAAATTAGTTGTGTCTATAGTAATATTGAAATTTGTCATATAAGGGATGGCACCGATTCCAGTAATACCGCACTGTCTATTAGGATTGTTTCCAACATCCCAAGAGATCTTTAACTGCTCTGTGACAGCATTTCCCCCCAAATACCAATCCATCTCCTTGCGTCTTTTTACAAGGCCTCTCTTTTCAGGTAAGTCAGCCTCACCAAAGTAAAATATAGAAGTGTTTGGGATATCCTCCACAATTCTCTTTCCTAACTTTCTAGCTACACAGCCACAATCTTCTAAAGAGACAGTTTTTGACAACGGATGAATTGGAATTAGATCAACTGCGCCTAAACGTGGATGCCCCCCTTCATGCCTTGTCAAATCAATAGCTTTGAAGGCCTGTTTACAAGCTTGGAATATGCAGTTTCCTAAGAATTCAACTGGAGCTGCCAATGTTATGACTGATCGATTGTATTCGACGTCTAAGAAAATATTTAGAACTGTTGCTTTGCACTTAAAACGAGAGTTATCGCTATCAACGGCGTGCAAATCGTGACCTAAATTATTTGAATCACTATCTCTGATTAACGTTGCGTCTGGCACCCAGTCAGCTTGATTTCTTACAGCAGCCTCTGCTATATCTCTAACAACTTTCTGGTTTCGTCCCTCCGAAACGTTCAACAGACAGGCAGCCAGTCTTCGCGCCATTTTGATTGTTGTGCCAAACAACGACAGCAACAAAATAATTTGTTTTGGCAGAGTCATCATTTTTCAGTATTTTACTTTGCAATCAGGGGCGAAACTACACTATTTTCATTAGGGGGTATGAAGCTTAGATGCCCGACGAAAGGGCGTGTCGTGCTGGATGAAAGGGCGTGTCATGCCTGAACATTTTTACGAGAGAGGGTCACTGCTAGGCCTTCAGACTCAGGCTGTTTTTCAAAGTCATAAATATGCCTCTTGTTTTTCTGGTGTTGGCTTCCGTTTACATTTGTTTCCGAAAAGCGAGCATTTGTAAGGCCTGTCTTTTCTATTAATGGAAAATAGTCTTCACTTTCTAAATCACCTAGCTATTAAGAGAGCAATTTAAATAAGAGATTGAAGTATGGTCTAAATTTTGTCACAGTCAAACAACAAAACACAGCTACGCAGACTAACAGCTACGCAGACTACAATATTTTGACAAAATAGAGCTTCAGTTGCATTTTCTGAGTTTGATTTTTAACTTTCGGTTGCTCCGGAAGGAATTTAAGCATTTTTAGACACCCAAACACAAAGTAAGTATCTCTGAATTCACCCTAACAAAATCCCTCAAGCTTGTTCAAAGAAAAACTTTTTTATTGGAAATATTTTATAGGTACACCTATCATCAAAGCCAGGAACCGCGCAGCCATTGGGCTAGCAAGGGCTCCAAACTTTTTTTGAAGGTTTACTTTGACGCAACTCGGGATAGTTTACCCCTATGTAGTAGCAGTTCTCATTGACTTGGAACCATTTTTGTTCTTTTCCTAGGTGTTTCATCTTGTTCAATGATATGATGTATTTTCTAACTTGGTTAGCTTGGTTTTTTATTTCCATCGAGCTAATTCAATCTATTTTTATAGTGTTTGATATCTTCTCTGAACCAGACTGTTTATAAAAATTCAATAGAAATAAGCAAATATTTTCTAAAAGGGGCGTTTTCCGGCATTGAAGGGGGCGTGGCCTCAAAAAATTTTCGGTCACACCCATTTCAGCCCCTCCACTTTTAGAGTGGCGCGCGGTCCCTGATCAAAGCTCAATTTTTGTGTTTTCGTAATCATGGATATTGTTCAGAAATAGAAGAAATTCGAAAGTTTTTTGCAATTCATATCTTAATTAAAATTCCTTAATAAATTTTCTATTATTTCCGGCTTGAACTGTCGGCTTAAAAATTCCTGTTACTTGTTACAGCTATTTGAATTTTTTTAATTAAAAAACTTTGGCGGCTGAACGGCCATTTTTGGAGAAAGGGTGCAATACTTTCGGACCGTACGTGTAAAACCTTAATCTAATTTCGGGGTATAACTCCTTATGAATATATGATGAAAGTTTCGTACATTTGGAAAGGAAAATGTTGCTTGATTTTTCTCCGAGATGGCATATCCTTCATGCTTTGATTCATGATGCTTCTAATATTGTCAGTGTTCCATGGGATCCGACGCAGGATGGAAAGTGGGGGTGAGGGGGGCGGTTCAAGGTAAAATTTAGCAATCATAACAAAAGATTTTGAAAAAAGCTCTCTTGTTTTGCAAAAAGTGGGGGGGGGTATGCCCTGTGTTCATTTCCTTTTTGCATCAAACACAATTTACTTTCCGTCTATACTTTTGCTGGCGATCAATACTTTAGACTCTACTTCCGCATCTCGAGGCGAGATAAACATGTGCTCGTCGAGCTCGAGACGAAAGCGCTGATCAGTGGACGAAAAACAGAAATGTATATATGTTGCTGTTGCCTGCCTCGTTTCTGTTTGGCTTTCCCAACTGGACAGAAATTGAGAAAAGGATGGGGGGAATAGCCTGAGTTCCAGACCCCAAACTAGAAGTATTTGGAGTCTGGGGCTCAGGCTAGGGGGGAAAAGACCATAAATTCAAAAACCAAGCTAGGGCAACAAGTAGCAATAAAAGTGCGACCTAAAGAAAATTTCCAGATTTGCCCGACCGATATATATTGGCAGCGATAATTTGCCCGACAAAATCTGCTTTTTTTGAAGATTGGGGGGTGCAGCACCCCCCCCATACCCCCCAGGAGTTTCGCCCGTGTTTGTAATCTTAAAGGTTTTCTAGCCGATTAGCAGTTTGGAATAAGGTCAATTAATGAGAATGATTGTGCAACCAACTTTTTGCATAAAAACTGATTTGGTTTCAATTGAGACCTTAATTGTGAATTTCGAGAAAAGAAATTCATTTGTTTCCTTGTACAAGGGTTTGTTTCTACCCTTGTTTCTACCAATTTCTACCCTTGTTTGAGAGTTTGATCAAGAACCTTTCCACGTGTTTCAAATATACTTCCCTTTTTTCGCATGAATGAATGAGATTTTTTATGGCTTTTAAGCGGTGCATTATGGAAGGTCATGTGAGCACTAAAGCTCAAAGTCCGTCATTCTGCGTTTATCATGTGCTCAGTAACAAATGCAATACTGGCTTTGATTGGTTTACACGACGGCTATGAGTATTTTGATTGGACAATGAAAATGACGTACAGGAATAGTTTGTACGTTGCATCAGCCTTGCCCTCGACTGAAAATTTGCGCGCAAAGGAAAATTGACTCACTTTTTCGAGAAGTTTCATCAGCAAGGAAGAAAGAATATTAGGGAGTGATGGCTTTCTAAATTTGTTTGCACCAGACGGCAAAGTGCACAAGCACTTGCAACAGAAAACAATAACAATGGAGTAAGTAGATGAAGCTTTCTTAATTTATTACCAATCTCATTTAGGCCATTGAATTTGAAAGTTCTTCTTGACTTCCAAAGCAAGCAATGTCTACTCCTCTGCTTTAGGCTAAAGAAAATTACAGTACCTCAACCTAAGGATAACATTTTCATCGTAAAATTCGCTTGATTTTTATCATCCTCTCCTACCATGTCTCCTTCTCTTGTTCTTCAAACGCTAATATTTCGCTTTTTTTCGTTTTCAGTTTTCAAAAGGGCCTCGAGCAAACTGCTATTGCAGTCGAATTACGACAAAATTTAACTGAGTATATAGAAGACAAAACGCAATATGATGATAGATTATACGGAGGACGATTCTTTTGCCTTCGGGCTGGACACCAGCCTGTTTCCTTCATTCTGTGATGGGAACAACCAAGTTTACGATGAGGGTAGTAACTTCAGCAGTGGTGACGTATCGCATTGTGGTGGCCTCCTTTCCGACTTTGGTCTTCAAAGTGAGGGTAAGCATTCGTCATTTGTATTAGTTAGAGCCCATTATTTTTGCTGAAAAATTCCAAAGGCTGACACTCTTATTTGATTTAAGCTTAGTTTTAAAGATTGAGCTTTAAATAAGATTTTAATTTTCCTCTTGCAGCCCAAGGTCATATCTGATGAGACTGCTTAATACATTTAAATGCACCTACCCAAGAATCCACTTGTAAATTAAGAATTTTTCTATTGTAGATGTGCCACCCGGCTGGTCGCTCTTGGAGCAATTAGAAATGACATCAGTTGAAAAGGAGGATCTCAATGACACTCTTATCAAAGATGTGCCATCAGCATATTCCTCGATAATTGGTGAAAGTTGCTTCAATGATGAATTTTGTCAGCTGAGCCCTCTTTCAGACTCTGGTGATTCAGGCATTTCATCTTGTAATTCACCTTATGGTAGCTCTGGTTTTCATGAGTCAAATGTCAGCTCCCCATTGAATGAAGTAGTGGTAGAAGAGCCACTGGTTCTCGAGCAGGAACCACAAGTTGCCTATAGCGACATCAATCTTCAATCTTTTGAGAACCCAGCAGACCTGCTTGCTGACTTAGCAAATGATATTGTGGAGGAGTGTAATGACAGCTTTACAGCTGATTTGATTCCAGGATTGAACAAATCTGAACTAACTACATTTGAGTTCAACAACAATATCAGTGATGTTTTTAATGAAGAGACAAGTGTAGAAAGTGTTGAGACAAATGAAGTGTCATTCATTGAGGAAAATAACCTGTCCCCTGATATAGTTAAGGAAGTTGAGGTCAGCAAAGGGAAAAGCTATGATGCAAAACCAGTCAAAATACTTCCCCAGCCAGTTAACATGGTAACATCAAACCAGAAAATATTTTTGGTGAAGGCCGAACCAGTCAGGAGTAAGCCATACCCAAAGACAAAACCAGCTGGACAGAAAACTTCCCATCAAAAGGAAAAGAAAAAACACCAAAACAGAAATGCAGCAACAAGGTATCGAAACAAGAAAAAGGATGAACTTGACAAACTTTTTGGTGAAGCATCAGAGCTAGAGAATTCAAACAAAGATTTGCAAGATAAAGTCACTTCATTGACAAAGGAAATAGACTACCTCAAGGGACTTATGCTTGATGTTATTAAGGCAAAGCTTGCCAGAAGCAATTCACAGCAGTCTTAAAGACATATTTAAACATAAATAATTTATATATCATATCTACTTGCAAGAATTTTAGTCATGGGCACATTTTTCACCCCCAGGAGGCATCAGGCACATTATAATACTTCTGAAAATAGTGAAACTTGTAAATATTGTAGGTTTTAATGTTGTAATTTATCTATTTCTCATTCTGATAATTTTCTTGTTCACTACCCTTTATCAAATATTTCAAATTTTTATGTATATTCTTGGCTAGAGATGGCAGCGGCTTTATCTCTTTATCTAGATGGGAGATACCTTTATCTCCCATCTAAAAACGGGATTAGAATGAATCTCACAACAGAAATGGCAGCGGCTTTTAGGAAAGAATAGCAGCATTGATTTGTCTTGCAGCAGACCAGGGTTGCCAGTTTGGCATTTTCAGTCCAAATTTTCGCCTTTCTCAGAGTAAAATTGCATGGAAAGTTTTTGTTTGGACAACTACCTAAATTTGGCTTTTTTAAACATTGTGAGGTCATTCCTCTGTTCAACGCCCTAAGTAGCAAGCTAATTAAGAATTGTAAGAGCAGTAAGTAAACTAAAATATTTTCTGTTATAAACTCATTTAACTGCTAGCATATGAATTTTTTGAGGGAGAAAGATTCTCAAATCCTTGCTTGGAAATTATCTAAAAGGCTCATGCATGGAAATATATGCCTTGCTTTGCGCAGTATATTTTTAAGGAATTTTTTAAATTTGTTTTTATGTGCTTTTTGACCTGGGGTTGTCGCCTATCTGGCCTTCCTTTGTAAACCCCCATCTGGCAACCCTGCTACAGACTTAACCCCCCCCCAACATGTTTCTGTCGGAATCCCAAAAGTCTTTCACCTTCTACAACCTTATTCTTCCGTGGAAAATTAGTAACATTACAATTAAGCAAATCTTAGAGAGAACTTAAAATTGATGTTTCCAAAAGCTTCGAGAAAATTGTTTCGTTTTGGTCATCATCGATATAAACGAATAAAATCAGCGTCGCTTTGTATAATACGTTGAGAATTATAGAACTCTTACCTTCGCAATTCAGGTATGTTCATAAATTCGTTGTTGCATCGAAAAAAACTTTGGAAATAAAAGTAAACAAGTAGAAAGGGGGATCATATGACGACATCGTGTCATTTTCGCGCTTTTTTCAATTTTCTAGTTCCAGTCTTTTCATCTTAAAATATTTGGAAACAGGCCTCGCAACAGCCTCAGAACGTGTTGAGCGAAATCGATCGATGGATAAGCGCATCAGGGGAAAAATTGAAAACCAATAGATAGAAAAAAGGGGTAACATTTTGAAAAGCACTGGGTCGGCACATCTTGTGACACTGGACAATGACAGTGCCGCGTTATGTTTCACATTTGTCAAGATTAATAGTTGTGTATTTAAAGAAAATTTACATTCTTTTTTTATAAGAACCAGTAAGTTTAGGCTGACTGTTCTTAATTTTTTATAATAGTCTAATAGGGTGTAAGCAGTGCAAGTGCTAGCTTTTTCGCTCTAGGGTGGTGTTCAGGCCTCATTTGCCAACAAAGTGAGTGAGACAACCTTAATTTGCTGACAAATTTGAATACTTACCGAAAAAGCACCCACATATCGCTAAAAATCCTCGATTTTGGGAAAAAACGTTGTTCAAAATTGCATTTTGCAGAAGCTCAGCTTCAGCTTGTTGTTAATTTGTTCTTAACTTTTGACCAATTTTGAGGCTTGTGTTCTTATAAAATTGTTCTTATAAAGAAAAGAATGCATTGGGCTATAAATAAACTTACTACTGGGCGATATGGGGAGTGACACCCCTTTTGAAAAAGTAATTTAAAAAAACAGACTCTAACCCTTGCCAACCATTTGATATTCCAAATCAGGGCTTAATAACACGCCTCCAATGTACAATAAAAATAATTTTTTCTGTAAAATATTAAATAGTCATTATTGCTTGGAAAAGAGAGATTCTGCATAAAACCAAACAAATTAAAGATAGATTCTTCAGCAACTTTCACAATAAGCTTCTCTCCTCTCTTCATATTTCGTTTGATTTGTTTGCAATCTCTGTTTAAAGGTAGCAAATCTCGAGTCTTGAACAAAGCATCAGTAGCGTAGCCAGGGTGGTAAGATTGAGGGCAGGGGGCAAATGCAAATTGAGCAAGGGAAAATTAGGGGTCCACATCCTTTTGAACGCCAGAAAACGCCCTATTCTAAAGATACGTTTTGCCATTCGTAGCGAGATAGTATTTTGCAATTTGATACGTAGCGAGGCGTCAGCCCCCTCGCTACGTCACTGCAAAGCATTTACTTTTTGGACACATTGGCATTTGCATGGGACGTCAAACAGAGACCCCTGACATTCTCAGTGTCCAAAAACTTGAATTTGGTCAACCTACCCCCCCCCCCCCCTTCCTCCTCATCACGATTACATTAATATACAAAGAGGAATCTCTAACGGAATAGTAGTCTTCCAATTCATTTAAGCAAAGAGGACCTGTCTGAGCCTTTTTGATGCAGCTTTGAAAAAATTCACTCTTCAAATACAGCTGAACATACCCAGACACATTTTAGATGTGCGTAACAAGAAACTTGAGTGACTACAATAAAAAAATCCATGTCATACATTGATGTCAAACAAATTTCTCACATGATAATGACTTGTTTCGTTAAGGCAAGGGTGATTAAACCTACAACAGTGAGTGTTTGTAATTCTGTTCGCTTCGAACAACCCCGGGGGTTAGTTGCATAGCATAGCAGTGGGTTGATATTTACGTGTTGTAAGTGGTAGCGAAAGCACAGGAATTTGTTTATGAATTATAACTGAACTCTAACAAAGAACGTTTTTAGCACAAGCTATTTGTATAAGGGCTGGGTTGCACAGAAATTTGAGTTTCAAAACTGTAATGATCAGAAAAGCAATTTTGCCAATGTCGCAAATATTGGACGGTTAAATTAAGTGATATTGAGGGAAATTTCAAAATTAAATTTCACATAAGTAGCGACGTAAAAAGGTCATATAAATGTTACGTTCATCATAATTACAGTTAATTTTCAATACTTAATCGAAATAGATATTTACGAGCTAGTGGGTGGGCTCCATGAATCAAAAGCTATCGTATCATTTAAGCTATTTTCAATCCATGATCGCTGAGTATAGCAAAAGTTGAGTATTATATCAAAAGAAGACGTCTTCTTTCATTGCACTCTCTCCCAAAAAGAGTATCTTGCAAAAGAAACAAAAAATCCCAATACATCATACAGAATCACAAAGGCACATACTCTTTCTCTCAGTGGAAATGCCATTATTGAAAGCTTTCTAGCCTGTAAAAACTTAAGGGGTCCTTGCTACTGGTATTGAGGCACTTAATCGTATTAACCAAAAACACTCGTCGAAAACGAGTCTATACATACATGACTTTCTCGTAGGAAGAAATTGCAAATAATATTCAATCATAATACGAATGGTAGACTCTGTAGTCTATTCATAGAAGGATTAATTAACTTTACAAAAATTATTTACGAATTCAGGCTCTGGATGGCTGTGTCATGGCGATGGCAAGGTCTTGGAAGCTCCGTTTATTCTGGTTTGCCTCTTTGACATGGCGTAAAATTCGCCCCTGTTGAAAAGAATCAAAATGAAGAAATTTTCAAACCCAGCTTATACTTCCGGTTGAATTATCTTTTAAAAATACGTCAGATTTAAGGATCAAATGAAATACATAAAAGCTTTCTAGCAGTTATCACAGAGTCTCCAAAATCTATCGTCAAAGGTAACAAATCTAGTCTCAGAAATATCTACTATATCTTCTACCATTCTCTTAAATACTTAGTGAAACACGCAAAAAAGGAATTTTTAATAAACTCGATTTTCATGGACCTTTTTTTTATAATATATATCCATTAAAAAGTTACAATATATGAATACAAGCTACGCTACTTACAAATTTATTTTACAATACTACTCGGAAGATACCCCGAGGAGCAAAGACTATGACTACCCCGGGGACATAGACACAGAGGCTGAAATAAACTACCATAGTCTGTCTCAAATTGCATGCCACGAGAAATGTCTGCGATCAATTTATGGACCTCTCCGGTATCAGGATACCATAGCATAAAGATGAATGCTTGAAGGTCAAATCTTACATTTCTGATTGTAATGCAGAAGGCATTGAATACCATATAAATACCAAAATGAAATTACCATAAGCTTGCCATCAGATCTAGGATTATCTTGTGCCTTTTTCCAGAGATTCAAGGCAAGTTTCGTCATTTGAGGTGACTCAAGGTCAGCACTTATGATTATTCTGTTGAAATAAACGAGAACAGTTATAGAATTAGGCAATTTTCATCATTATATAATCACTTTTGCATCACAACTTGAATGAAACATCAGCTAATTCTTGTTGAATTTGAAAAAAATTGAAGTGTGAAGCACTCAAACATTAATTAACTAGAAAAGATGCTGCTTCATTCCAAAAGGAATTGCCACGATAGATGTAATTGTCTTAAGAAAATCGCTGATTTAATCGCTGACACGACTATTTCCTAATGCCACTTAATTAAAGGTTTATCTCCTTCAGGATATGGCATTTCCTTGCAATTAGATATTGCCACGAGCATGAGATGCCTACATCGTAGCAGTATTGCATCATATTTAAAGTAGATAATTAAAACCGTAAAACTATCTCTGAAAACGTATTTGTACAGCAAAAACAAACAAGCTTAATAATGGCTTGATCACTATGGTTTCAATCCCTGCAAAAATATGCACTGGCTCAAGCTGGAATTGATGGATTCAAGTTGACGTCATCAATTTTGTATCTCGCTATCTACGGACCTTTTTCGAAAATGGACTTCAGAATTGAAATCTTCATCATTAAATTAGTTTATACTGAAAAATTCATGTTGTTTGGACCGTTCGGTCGCATTTTACTTTGTTTCGAATATTTAGATATTTCTTTAGATTTGACCGGAAATTGCTGCTGCAGTGAAAAAATTTCACTACAGCAACGAATTCCATTGAAATGTATAGGAAAAGCTAAATTTTGAAAATGGGGTAATTTGCAGCCTGACGGCCCAAACAATTTGAAATTTTTGGCACAGAATGATTTCAACATGAAGGTTCCAATTCTGTTATCCATTTTTGCCAAATGTGAAGATACAAATTGCTCAAATCCGCGAATAAAAGAAATGATAAAGTAACTGCTTGAATTCTGCTGCCTATTATCATATTCTACTATCAATTTTAATTAATAATTGAAAGCTACAATACTTAATATAATCAATTTTTTTCTGGTACAGAACTTGAAAATGGCTTTGAAAAAAACAATTTTCAGACGAAAAAGCTTTTAGTAGTATTCTATGAATGTTAGCTTTTTTCAAATACTTAATATGTTGTCTTACGCTTTTTATGTACTATTATATAAGCTTAATTTGGAGTAAATTGATTAAAAAATTACTACTTTCACTTCAAATTTCTATAAGAAGATACCGAACTGACAAAGCTGTAGAAAGTTAATATTGATGAGCTATAAATCAGTTCAATGAATATCATACTAAAATAAGTACTAAAATCATCTCTAAAACTTGATCAGATTAAAGGAAGCACGAGTTGTGGAGACGATCCATCCAAAGATAATACTGAAAAAATGACCAGGGAAACCTTAGACTTAACTTTCGTGAAACATTCCTATTGGTACGTGAATCCTGGTGATTTGTATTTGTAAACAAGTTATTAGCTGAAAGATTCAAGGATTTACGATTGCTATCGGTGTCCGTTTCAAGAAATATGCGAACTACAATGCAACCATTGATTGCAATTCCGGTTTTGAGGCAGACTGAATCTATAAAATCTTAGATAACTGCGCAAAATGTATAGATGTATTGTGGCTTAAAAAAGTTAAGATCGACATGCACTCAGTAATTTTGCTAGATTGGAGACCCAAACATAAGTGGTGCAGCCAGTTACAATACAAAGATATTTCAACTAACAGATGCTCCCTCGTAACGAACACCTCTGCATAAAGGACACATCGTCACAACGGACACCTCTGCAAAACGGACATATATGAACAAGTAAACACTGCTCCAAAATTCTTCCCTGCAGTCAAAGCCTTGTAGAACAAATCTCCAGAAAGCGAAAAACCCTCGATTGTTGAAATAACTCTGTTCCTTAATCACATCCTCATTACTAAACTGCTATGAAGTCAAATCGCCAAGTCAAGTTTTAAATTGCAAAAAATCATACAGATAATCCAAATAATTTTTTTGAAGCGAATCGAGATATAGGCCATCATAAAGATACTCAAGATATGCATAATTGAGAAAGAGCTGCGAGAGAAAATGTCTCTCTTTTCTAACATTCTATTTGCAATAAAATGAAGATGACAAGAAAAATCAGACGATAATCAACAAGAAGGGAATTCAAAAAACAACAAACCTATTGATCAATGCTATTAACAGCTGGCCTTGTACTTTTGGATTCTACAAAACAATTTACAATAAATATTTTAGGAACAAAAGTTCCAATGACTTAGATGTAAATAGTAGCATAGATCTTGAGCAGCCCTGCCAAGCAGAACAGGAAGCTAGGACGCCTGGTAGGAGCTACAATCCTGGCCAAAAGTTATTGGATTGGCTGACAAATGGTTGTCTTTTTGAAAAAATACGCTCCCTACCCCTTACAGTCAATTTCGATACGCTTATTTCTACTCATCTAAACTGCTGTTACCTGGGTTTTCTCCAGAAAACCAACATTGCTGCAGTGGTTTTCATGGCTTTTAGTGGTTTCAAACATTTTCGAATGGTTCTCAATAGTTTCTAATGGCTTGGATGATTCCCAATAGATTATATTCGATTAAAATATTGTTGAATGGTTTCCAATAATTTCTGCCGTCAAACACTTACTAGAAACCTTTGCTCTCGACTCACAGTTCCTTTAGTTATAATGGACCAAACTCATTAATCAATAACACTGTTCAACTTCAAGCCTTAACAATCAGCTAAAGTGTGTGAGTCGTAAATTTGTTTTCATAGGATTCAGCAGAAGGACGTTTGGCTAGCAACAGGGTTTTAATAGGCAAGAACATACAGGCAATACACCGTGAACGGTTTTGGAGGTTGATGTTTTTCTAGCAAGCTTTTTCCGGCCAAAAAAACTTACAATTATTTAATAATAAGATCGTGAATCGTCGCATCAAACGAATCTAGGCCTTATAATCTTAAAGGAAAATATCTTTAGCGTTAGTCAAAATTAGTACATAAGTTGAAGAGTTGTACTGAGCTTTACCTGTAACAAACAGGTTCTCTGCCACATAAATTTATGGAGACCTCATTTACAACATATGAAACGACGACTCAAAAGAATAAATACTCTGTCTAGAACACAATTTTCCACTCTCGTTTTACCATGTTTACTACAATCCATTATCTCCCAACTCCTCTTTTTAAAAATCTTTCTTTACAAATAATAGATTATCATAACCAACAAAACAAAGAACAAATCACTGCAACGCACATTTAACGCCCCTGGGAACATTCACACACAACACAACTACATAACAGAACAAATGCACAATTATAACGCTTGAACACCACTGAACAAACAATGATAACCATACTACATCAGCCGCTTTACACAACAAGTTTACTCCAAATACGCAATCATAATAATATACACATGAAACATAATGTAACATTACCTTTTCACCAAAACTTATAATGTCTTCGAGAACTTGTTTCAATAAAGTATCCACTATTTTTACCACCTCCGCTATAAACTTCTTGTCTGCACCATACAGCTTGTCGTTGGAATCGACTAAAACAAAAAGAGAGCCATGGCATAAGACAGGAAAGGACTATTATTTTCTGTGAATATGTGTCTTTAAATGCCTTGACTTGGTTTTATCTTTTTGGTAACATATAGGATCAGAACTGCATTAGATCCGTACATTATCAGAAAAATTTTCAGTCCAATACATCCCACTGAAGTACCCACAAGTTCCGAAGTAAGCACCATACATGGATTCTTCGTGTAACAAATGCTATAAATTCGAATTGTTCTTTTGAACAGCCTACTTGACTCCAGTGACGGACACTTGGAGGGGGGCTAGGGGGTAGTCGCATTTTGGAAGACAATGGTATTTTGTTCTAAGACAATGGGGAAAATGCGACGTCGTCTTATCAAAACAAAAGGCTTGGCCCCCCCCCCCCC